CTACCACAGGGTGATGGTGACGCAGTGGTTCAGCCGCTGCCACCATGGTGCTGTGGATTCTATGATCCGAGTTTCGAGCCCCACCACAGCCACCTTACTTTGTTGGTAGGCGCAATTTTGCTGTCATTCGGCTGAATAACACCTATAGGCCAGCTGTGGGACCTTATAAGGTTCGCCACTCCAACTCCCGGGGTTTAGGTTGCTGGTATTTATCACTAAACAGCTGGTTCTTGTGACTATGTGGCTTCTCCTGTCTGCTTTTCATCCCAATGAGGTGTGTAAAAAGAGTAATGTTTCCTACTGGGAGATTTAAATGTACTCTAAACGCTGTTTTATGTGTCCCATCCAATTTAGTATGAATGGCCTTTCAATTCTGGGACATTCTGAGGTATTGAGTGGTTGAGACACATGTGAGTAATCAGCAAACACAGTGATGACATCGCAAGAATGCGAATCAGCAAATAGTACTGAGATGAGCAGGATTTGTGACCCGCAACAAGCTCACAAAGATGGGTTATCCTATATCAAGTAAATAGAAAATGAAAAGCGGTCCGACCAGCTGTCCTCGGATGGCCGAGTGGGTAGCATGCTTGCATTATGCTTGTGAGGTTCCGGGTTGGGTTGATGGATTTGCGCACTATTTCTGATTATATCCAACCAGGTCGAAACAGCGACTGGTCAGTGCGTCCTAGTTTTTCGAGTTCACGCTTCATTTGTTCTATACACGACTAATTCACCTTTGAAATAACATTCAGGTTGTATTTCGTGGTAGTCCCCGTTGTCTGAATCAAGGTTCGCGGCGATGTGAGATATATCATTTAAAAATTTGTCCAGCCAGTTTGCTGTAAGTGTCACACAACGAGACGCAAGTGCTTAACCCGGGGAGCGTGACGCAAGATAATGAATGAATGCGAAACAAATAACCCACACTCCCGATGAAAGAGTACATTGACATCGGTCCAACATTGATTTGTTCAAATTATTGTTTGCAGAATGAAGTTTTATGCTTGAATTGTGAAAAGTTCAGTAGCTTCGTTGGGATTCGAACCCACATATGGACGGCGCCTACGCTTTTGTATGGCGCACGCTCTATAAGCTAAGCTCCGAGGTCACACTGATGGTACTGATCTTTTCAAGTGATTGTGAGTTGCCCCTTTTTGTTTCCTTATTTCGTTCGGCTAGAGGATGGTTCCAGTTTTGTTTTGTAATTAGTGTTCAGATTATTTTGAATTCACATGTAATTTAATTAATTCCTGCTAGTCAGGTCACCAAGTTTAGCCCCATCCGAATAATTTGAAAACGTGAATACCTCGAACAAGACTAGTTAGTTGTGGCTGTAAAACCACAGTTTCAATTGTGATAAAATTCTTCAATATGCTTATAGAGCAGTGAAGCAGTGATACTGTCTGAGAGAGAGAGCACGTATTCCGCACAAAATTGACCGACTAGGGAAATGATTTATTGTTTGCTTTAAAAATGTCCAATCCGACGGTATTTTATTCACCCATACCGGACATGTGTAACAGGTTCAAACAAAACACATGGACAATGTGAAATAACAAATTTTATTCCACAGCGTTTCTCACAAAATTTGGATGTGGAACCCCGCCCCGGTAGCTAAATCATTTTGACAATGTTCACAAGATTAAATTGGAACCATCAGGAACCCATTTTGGTTTTTCAATCCGGTAGTCTAAAAAGTGAATGAAATGTGTACTGTCGGAAAAGTGTGATAAATCTTTGTCTGTTTGTTTGTTTTCAAATCTCAGATTGCCTGGTGAAAACTGTCTTGGTTTATTTATTTATTTATTTCAAATTTCGATACGTTTGTTGTTTTTCAAGGCATGATCATGTATGTGTCCTCCATTGCAACCTTTCTTTGATCCGCCTCGCGAAAACCTTTAACCCCAATTGTTAGTTAGGTGTGAACGGACCGATCTATGGAGCAAAGCAAATGTTTCAAATAACTGATTGTGGGTCTTCATCAGTTTTAGTTTAGTTAAGAACAAAACGGAACATGGTCCTTTTCAATGTGTTTGCACAACCGAATCTTAAATTGTGGGACATGTTCCCCGCTGTTAATTAGTTAGGCTTTTGTATGAGAGGCCTAATGATACACATATTCACGTTGAACAACACAAATATTCTGTCCACATTGTTGCAATTTCATTCCGTGGGCTGTGCTCACTCTCCTCTTTCGCATTTTTATCTTCGGATTTTCCGTCTCAATAAAATCAAATGTGTGTTTTCTACCCCTTGCCTACTCACAGACACCAATCATGATCACCGTATGTGGGTCACAAGTATTGCTAATAATAATACTACTACCACTACTACTACTACTACTACTACTAATAATAATAATAATACTTTGCTATTTATTCCCAATGAACACCTGGGCCTCGTAACTATTCATTTTTGTGTATGACTCTATTCCGTTTGGAATATTCAACAACAAGCGATGTTTTGGCGTTCCCGAGTGGGGGGCGGGACGAAGGCTCGAATGGTGACAAGCAATTAGCACTTAAGTGTTTCATGTTTTGTTAAACAGACTTGATTATGACAGAAGGAACCAGTTCTATAATAGCCCAGTATATGATATATATATATATATATATATATATAAAATTGCCATAACCATTGAAACTAAAACCAGCTCATCTAAATCCTCGTTGAAATGCCAGTTTAGATGTTTTACAGTATCTATCTCATGTGCATTCACATCCAAATCAGCTGTTTCATTATTGGTAATATTTTGTTGTTTTTGTCAAATGCGGTTCGAGGACGATAACAACAAGCCAGTGTTGTGAAACATTTAGTAGTATTTGTTGGATTCGAACCCATTTATAGATGTCATTCGTCAAGACCCTATTTTGGTTAGGGTTATTTTGAACAAACGGTCTTTTTGCTCATAATGAGACAATCTGCGGATGTTGTGTGAACACTGTTCACGTTCGTCGTGCATCTACTCCATCGTATTAACTAGCATTCTTGAATTTGGTTTCTATGTCTGTCGTATTGGTTTCCCTGAGTCGTGGAGGGACGAAGGGAGTGAGTATATCTGAAAGCAACTGGGTGTTTAAGATGCAGTTATGTGCATCCGACAAGAAGAGAGAGAGTGTGTCTGTGTGATTAATTTGTATTTATACCTTGTATTTATATTTGTATAACATTTACAAGCACAATGTGCTTACATTTTAATTAAAGATTGTACAGTGGTCGTCACACTGGAGAAAATGTGGACATATGAACAAATCCAATAGTGTTTTGTGTTAAAGAAAAGAAAAAACGCTGTCTTCGACATTTGATTCATTCCAGTATGGATTGACGTAATTCATTCTCAAAGCCGTCGTTATGCAAATGAGGGTGTGAAACAAATTGATTAGTTTTAGTTGAATAAAGTCTCCAGGCAACTGTACTGGTTGATTTGAATCGTTTTGTTCTGTCACGTTAAATAGCATTATTTTTGAATGTTTATGCAATATTTTTCAAATTTGTGACGGAATATTATCAAAACCCAGTTTGATTGTTGCTCAAAAATGATAGAGTTATTGATTCCAACCGGAGTCGACGATTTCGCAATTCGGATGTAGACTCCAAACGGGAATTTCACGGCGAAAAAGCAATTGATTTGATACTCGTTCACGCCTTCCCTGCTCCGATTCCGGAAAAAGTATATTCCTTATCTATTAGTTTTCTTAAAGAAAAGTATAAGTACGTGAACTGGTCAAAACTATAAGATACCATTTTTTTCTATTCAATGACCAACCCTCCAGTGGAAGCAACAGCGAAAGCGGTAGGCAAATCACGCATATGTTTTTGATAATTTATCAATTTCAAATGGAAATTCGTCCTGTATATGACAAGTGAATCGTGAACTCAAACACTAGGAAGCACTGAACAGCCGCTGTTTTGACCTGGTTGGGTCTTATCAACAGTAGTGCACGAATCCATCGCCCCCAACTGGGGTGATCGCGAACCCGGAACCTCACAAGCAGAATGCAAGCATGTTACTCACTCGGCCACCCATGGGTAGCTGATCAGACCTTTTTTTATTTCCCATTTATACGATATGGCACAAACCATCTTTGCGAGCTTTTTGCAGGCCACCGACCTCACTGATCTCAGCCATAGCCTCCAGGATTATGACTCTATATCGACAGTGTTCCTTGAGTGCCCACGTGATCAACATCTTGGTTTTAGTTCTGGATGCCCTCTACCCGTGTGTGTCTCAAAGTATTTTGATGATGTGTGATCACGTTAGGCGGAACAAAGCCGGAAAGCTCGTTGTGATTAGGGAGGGAAGACTCACAAAACTGATTCATAGCGTCTCTATCGCGGCATGACCTATGCTCGGTCATAAGGAACACTCGATTCACACTAGCTTACTTAGGATCGTCAATTTACATTGTGTTCGGGAAAGGATTGCCCTATTTTGCTTTGCTTGCTTCATCATGTTTTAGCCCAACGTGGGTCGTGTTCCTCGTCTGCTTACCATGATCAACACCTCGTAAATCGATCTAGGAAGCTCGGTTCACCTGAACAGGTGTATACAGCAGGAAGATTTGTACTTATTTCTCTTGAGGGGAGTAGCAGTTGATGTTTGAGGTGTTGAACTGTATTACTAAGGTAGTAAGATTTATTCACCGTTCAGTCGTTGTAAATGTACGGTGTAGAACTCACTGGATTCAAATTGTCATCCACTCAGTTTGGTTATCTCCGTTGAGCAATGTGCTTTTATTTGTTTTCATATTAGTTGTATGCACAATGTTCTCCTGTGTAAGGCTAGTCTATGCATATCAATCAAGTGCACCAAGTTGTGGCTGTATAGGAGAAGTTCTTTAATCACAGAATCTCCTCTTTTACAGCACAAAAGCATACATGTTCCTTGATTACACAGTTCGGCATTACACCAGGTTTCTCTTCGCTTCTCTTCTTATCGGAGGCTTGACCACAAAATGANATGATTTCTTTTGTCTTGTTCTGTTCTTTTTTTTCAGCTTCCAACAGCGATCATCCAGTCCGACAAAGGGGTAAGTTTCTGCTAGTCAAGTTTGATAATACACCATACTCTGTGATCACATTCGCATGCGTGTACTTAGCACGATACTTAAAACGGTAATACCTGGTGAAACCCTACTGGTTAATGAGTCAATTAGTATGCTTTTTGCTTACCGTCTCACCGTAGTACACACCGCTTCGATGCATGAAAAGACAGAAAGAGAGAGAGAGCAGGCATCACAGAAATCTACTCTTTCCGATTGGTGAAATAGCGAATCGTGTGTGTGTGTGTGTTTGTGTGTGTGTGCATTTTTCGGATATGTAACGATCATCCCACGTCAGAAGTTGAGAAAGAAATCTAAACTTGAAAAAAAAACATTTCCAGATAAATGAACTGTTACCTAATCTTTGTTAAAATCTGTTGTCTACGGAAGGAGAAAAACTCAGAGGATGAAAATGAACACAACTGACGGACATAATTGCGGTCGGATAAAATGCGTGCGTCTGTTTTCAACGCGTTCAAATCTGACCCCTTTAAAGTGTGTGCAATTAGGCTACATCATGGCTTCGTTTGTGAACCCCGTAAAATGTTGTTGAAAAAACAGCCCAGATGAGGTGATGAAGAGTACAAAGGGGACGGGAACTGACCATATTAGGTTCGACGTCCTGATTCCTTAATAAAACTATTCGATTTGACTGAATGGATGACTGTGATGTGATCTGTTATTGCCTGAAGCGGAAAAAAGAACTTTTGAGCGTAAAAAAGCTGCGTGTGAAATCAACAGAAGGGTATGGAAGACTTGATTTGAATCACAAAAGGACTGTCTTTTTAGACTTGGCAGATCAAATATGAATTGAAACACTGGCATAGGTTTTTCAACTTTGTGCACTATCTTTATTAGTGCGCATTGCCTTGATTATCTTTCGACTTGATAAATCTATTCGTCTGCTTCTGTTATAACTAAATTCTAGCCAAAAAGGCTTTTGGAAACTTTGGGTTGGACTATCTGGTTCAAAAACATACGCAGTCTATTCAGTCATTGTATGTTCAAGTGAAAATTATGCATTATAGCGAATTCCATGCCCACTTGTGTTGCAAAATTGCCAAATTATGGACGCAAACCAGAAACAGATTAAATGACAGTTTGCAATCTCTCCCGTTTCATATTGTGATTGCTAAAGGATAGAACACGAATTCATGAACAACAGTACCAGTTACCGTCCTGCTTTGGGAAAGTCTGGTTCAAGATCCCAGAAAATGCGGCACGTCTGGTGATAGTTTGCACAATTTTAAAGTAAACCGAGCCAGCTTAGATTGTTAGTACCTAGTTTTGTTTATACGTTGACATGTTTTTTTTTCACCACTGGTACCATTCCACTTGGATTGCTAAATTTCTACCTTGTGTAAACGCTATCCAGGTAAATGTCCCCATCATTGCTATTGAATGATGCAAAATGCTCGATAATTGATTTCCTTCTACAAATTGAAGTTTATTTTGCTGACATGGGGCAGGGAGAGGAGGAAAGGTGTTGCTGACAAGCATCATTACTTGTTGCTATGTAAGTTCAATAGACGAAATGTTGGTCATGCGTGAGATTTCCCTTTGCCTAACTAGGATCATCAGCAGTTCAATTACCATGTACACAAATCCATCAAACACATAAAAAGCAATCTGTTACATTTAAACATTCGTTGATGCGCAGATAGAGAGAGAGAATGAGGACAAAATGCCCCAACGTTCTTATCGATCACAAGTTCAGATAGCAGAGTTAGTATCATATACATATACGCTGGGATTGTGAAAAGTTCAGTAGCCTTGTTGGGATTCGAACCCACGCATAGACGCTGCCCACGCTATTGTATAGCGCACGCTCTACCAGCTGAGCTACAATGAGGCCACACCGACAGAGTACTGTTTTTTTCACGTTCGGATTTACATTCACAAAGCTGGCAGAGCATGTGCGGCGTCCATGAGTGGGTTCGAAACTAACCGAGCATACAGAACTTCTCACAGCCCCAACATAAAACTTCAGTTTGCCAAACAACCATTTGTATATATATATATATATGCGTTTTGCCATGATTCTTAATATTTGTAATGCAAATACAGAAAATATAAAAGTAATAAAAAAATAACTTCCACGAAACGCTCTGGGAACAACCAATGCAATTATGTGACTGAAAGCGGAATCCAATCTTACCGCTAAGGATGATGATAGTGATGATGATGATGATGATGATGATGATGATGATGATGATGATGATGATGATGATGATGAGATGATGATGATGATGATGATGATGATGATGATGATGATGATGATGATGATGATGATGAAATGATGATGATGATGATGATGACGATGATGACGATGATGATGATGATGATGATGATGACAATGATGTTGACGATGATGATGTTTCGAATGATGATGATGATGATAATGCTGATGATGCGGATGATGATGATGATGATGATGATGATGATGATTTGGATGATGATGATTCAGATGATGATAGATGATGATGAGGATTCGGATGATGACTCGGATGATGATGATGATGATGATGATGATGATCGGATGATGATCATGATGATGATGATAATGATTCGGAAGATGACGATGATGTTGATGATGGCATGATGATGATGAAGATGATGATGATGACGATGATAATGGCAATGATGATGGAGGAGGAGGAGGAGGAGTAGGAGGAGGAGGAGGAGGATGATGATGATGATGATGATTTGAATGATGATCATGATTCGGATGATGATGATGATGACGACGATGATGATGATGATGATTCGTAATGATAATGATGATGATGATGATGATGATGATGCTGATGATGATGATCCGGATTAAATTATGATGAAGATGATGATGATGATGATGATGATGATGATGATGATGATGATGATGATGATGGGATTATGATGATGATGATGATGATGATGATGATGATGATGATGATGATGATGATGATGACGATTATGATGATGATGATGATGATGATGATGATGATGATGATGATGATGATGATGATGATGATGATGATGATGATGATGATGATGATGATGATGATGATGATGATGATGATGATGTTTCTTTATCTCACCGCGGTTTATCTCGCTTGTAATCAGTCAGTTCTGTTGTGAACTCGAATCCGAGATGCGCTGAGCACCCATTTCATTTGGATGCACGACTTCTGTGCCAGACCCGCTGAACTATTCCCCGTGGCAAAAAGCCCGCGCTTTGCGATTTCCGAATAGGATTCGATCAAAAACTGCTCAACAGAGTGAAATGTTAATCTAAACAAAAACCATCAACAACAAGCGACAAACAAATTGCTTCTGGATGTTTCATTGTGTGATTTCGCGATCAAATTTGATAAGAGAATATTAAGTCGATTAAGACTATCTGTTTCTCTCAGTTCAAAAGATCACGAGTATTACTGACAGTGAGAAACACTGTTTAACATTTACGAACAACCACCTGATCGAGATAGAGCAGCTTCCAGAAAAAAAGAATACTACACTAGGCATATCAATCTTTTTTCATTTTGGCTTCCCTTTATTGAATAAACAATAGTAAAATTTTAAGGGAGAAGGAACCCACCAATCGAATGGGGCTTCCTTACAACACCACCTCGAGTGGTGGTGGTGGTGGTGGTGGGATTCGAACACACCCACGCCGGGGTGATAATTTGGTGACGTTACCTCCCGGGGCCATCACGCTTCGTTCGGTCAAACGGATTGGGGTGTTAACGAAGAATGTCTGGCCGGATTGTTCAACAAAGGGTTGTTGTGTAAACCAGGGAATTCAAGGATTAATGAGTGTTAACTCATTGGTCAGTACAGGCGATCAGGGTTTTATGGACGTGAAGTTGTGCGCGTATCTAGCGTACGAGACATAACAAATCTGTCTATCTCATCAGTTATTTAATTATGTGACTCCTTTGACCGGATTCTGCCAACGAGGTAGCGTTTTCTCAAGATTTTAACGTTTTTCGGAAATGCTTACGTAGTCACTATTCGAAGCGTTCGAGTTACGATACAATTCTACCCGCTAGCCAAAATAAGATAATAATTTCCCAATTACAGACAATTTTTTGAGAACAACATGAAAAACAAACATTTGTTCTTTTCTCAATTGATATTACCAAAAGTCGGCTTTCAGGAAGCGGGTCGCTGTCTGTCTAGGAAAATGCAGAAATGAGAAGGACGGGTAACGGTGGAACGGTTCGAATCCGGGCCATCCTGGTTACTTCTTGGATGACCTGAACCACTTGACTACCATCACCCCGAACCGCACTAACAACAACAACACCCATATCTTCTGCATCTTATAATGCGTTTCACGTACCGTTTCGTTTTTCGATTCGGATTTGTGAGTTTCATCAGTTGGACAATGTTGACACTTTAGCGTAAAATAGCATTAGCTAGATCAACGCTAAAAACGGGCTCGTTCAAACAGTCACGTCCCATGGATTCACACAAACTGAGCTTTAGAAAGATGTATACATTATCAAAATGGAATTGTTGCTCATATCGGCCTCGAATCGGTGTAGAAACACTGAAGCATATGGATCTACATTGGGAATACCATTGATGAAACCGTACACTCCGAATTTTCCCGATCACGAAATGACATATGTTAATCATTTGTGTGGTTTGTCAGAAAGGGAACATGTTCCATGCTTTGAACCGGTATCTTTTGATCTACGTAGAAGAACATGCAAACTGGGATTTGTAGATAACAGCTTCCGTAATCCAGCAATCACATAATGAGACAGAGACAGATAGACTGGTAAGTAGTAGTCAGTCCCACGGTAGAACCTCAGTCCCAAATGATCGATTCACAAGCATGAATGAATTTATGAATAGCTTAATCTCGTTTTTGTGAGTTTTTGTGATTTGACTGGGAATAGGAGCAAGAATAGAACTCAACTATCTGTAACTTGCCCTGTCAAACATTGTTCTGATGAATGGACTGAGGTAGGGCAATACTGCTGCTTGTTATTTAGAAATGTGTTGTCCATAGATGAATAGAAGAGGTCATCATGAATCAATGGCAGAACAATCCCATGAATGAGTCGTTCACATATGGCAAGGGGATAATATACGAACGGTCAAATAGAGATGGATATCGACATTGGAACTGAATAGTCTCGTTAACCATAACGACTATCCGAGTAGATTGGGACCCATTTTGCTGGGCGAGTACGAATAAATTTGGAATCCATTGCATTTACCTTATTCATGTAGAATGGTCATGATACAATGAATATTACCTTCACTGTTGTGCGTGCATTGTGCGTGCAAAACAATGTCCGGTACATTATGCGCGCTCATGGTCTAATCGCTAGTAAATTCATTCTGGCCAACCTACCCCCGGTTCCACCTCAGTGTGAGCACAAACCACAATGGGGACTGAGTTCACATGTTC